TATACGAAATAGGGTGAACACATTTCATTTGTCTGATCTACTGATCTACAGACGAAAAACAAGATGACTCTCTCGTCGTCTTCTGATAGGATAGCTCTTTTTGAACTTTTTCATCACACACACACACATACACACTTTCTCTAGTTGGCTCCATTTGCCTCCCTTTCGTCTTGTCCTGCCGAGAGACCCTTAACTGACCAACGATAGTCCACTTGCCTACAGCTGGCAGCTCTCTTTTCACAGTTCTGAGATGAATCAGCTCCACGGCAGAGGCGATGACTGCCTCGTAGATGAGAATGACTAAAAAGGTGCTAAATGGTCATCAAAGAAATCTCACAACCGCACATTGGGCGGCCGAAAAACGGCCTGCTTTTAGGCCTTTTCTCGAAACGACATTGCAACGTGGGTGGATGTGCATATGTTGCAGCAACAAGCCATGCCTCACCACTTCATGGCGGCCCATGAAAAGTCTTATCTTCGGAGGGCATCAATGACAGGCTTTGCGCAACCATCCGCACGAACGCCGTACCTCTTCCAGCAGGTGCAGCCTAGACAGGGCCCAGCTCTTCAGGCCAAACGCGACAAAATGTCCAGCACTAAAGGTTCACATACTCGTCACTTTTGTGTGTACATGCCGTCGTGCCTTGGCGGTTGGTCGCGTGTGCACTTGCGACTGCCGGCCTGTCAACTGTGCCCTCTGCACAACGAGCCCGCAGGCTGGAATGTTCTATTCACCGAAATACCGATGACACCATCCCACTTGTCGACGAGACGGACCGCCACAGCCGAAGATGATGGCATTCGGGGCAAGTGGGACAGTGACGGCTACCCACGCCTTCTCATTACGACTGTCAGTTTGACCGTCTCGTTCAACACTCACTCTATAACAAGGCCACTGCACTCTTTTTCAAGTCGGCCAATGAAATCATGCCACTGCACAAAGTCCAAATTTCCACCAATCAGATTGGGGCCTCTTGAATCAATCATAAGCCGAAATTCAAATCACGCAAGTGTTGAAACCGTTCGAACTTTGGACTAACTCATTGCACACGAAGAGAAACTGGGTTTTGATGACTCTTCTGAGATAACATTGTTGGGGGAACTTTCATTTTGTATGAAAGTGCATGAAGAAGAGATTCGTTGGTCGATCTCACCAGATGAGGACGGATGA